GGAGGAGGGGAGCGCCCAGGGGAAGCGTCCTGCCCCGCCCTGCCCTGGCCTGCCTGGAGGTTTCCCCCTGCAGATGGGCTTAAACTTGGGCCACCTGGGCCGGCCCACCTGTGACATGGGAAGACTGCAGCTCCAAGAGCAAGCGTCCAGCTGGGTGCACGGAGAGACCGCTCTGTTCCTGGACACGTGCATTCCAGGGAAAATGACCCCTCCCGTGAAGATTTATCATAAAAATCCAGATTTCTGGCTTTTCTTAAAACACTAGACCGCATGCCCTGGGCCACCTTCTGCTTGAGCCTCGTGTGTCCCTAGATGGCATTGGGGCCCTCCAGTTCTCCGCAGACCCCAGCAGGTCCCCTTGACTCATGATGCCTGGCCCTGGGGGCATTTGAGATGAGACCTAGGACTTTAGGAGTCCAGATGGGGTGTGGCCAGAGAGTCAGATGGATGTAGACTCTTGGGTTCAAATTCCCAGGCTAGCTGGTCGCCTCCTTACCTCCCCACCCCCCACCTGTACAACGGACTGAAGTGAGAGTGTGCAGCTCATGCGAGTCTGATCATTTGGAAGAGCTTGGGGCCCATCAGATTAGGAGCGGATCATCAGTAACATGTATAATCTTAAGGCAAATCCCTTTGGGAGACGCAGTTCTCAGGGACTCATCTTTGAAAGGAAGGAGTTTCTGATCCTTCTGGAGAGGTTTAGGACAGGATGGAAGGGAGCCCCTGGGGGACACTGATCGAGGCAGTGGATAGCTATCTCCCTCTGGATGGAGAAAAAGCGTCCCTAATTGGTTATAGGGGCAGTAAAGTTCCCTCCACTCTCAGTTCTGCTTGGGCTGAGCCTTAGACAATAACAGCTTGTGTGGACCGCACCTGAGGGTTCCATGGGCTTAATGACCAAACATGGCTCTGAGAAGGTAACCCCAACCTCTCCTCCCAAGGCCAAAGCAATAGTGACCACACTTTGTTTTCTTTGGAGTGAGGTTACAGCGATGTCAGGGGACTCAGTACCCTTAATGATGCTCATAATTACAGTCTGCTGTGCGTTTGAGCACTGTCTCTTGTTCTGAGACTGGGTGTGTTCTCAGGACCTGGAGGCTCCTACGAGGCCCTTTATAAAAAGACAACATGGTGCCCCCTCCTGGTGGAAGAAGCACATAAAGATACTTCCCTCCAGGTGGGCAAGTAAAATAAGGTGCCCCTTCCTTTGGACTGAGACAGGGCACAGAGATTCTATCCTCACTTGCCATCTAGGCTAGATGCTTTTGAGCAGTGCACAAGCTGTACAACTTGTCCATGACATTCCTGATGGCCTTTCCATACATCATTTCACTTTATACTCACACAGTCCCAGGAGGTGGAGAGACTGTTATCAAACCCTATTTTACATGGAAGACACTGAAGCTCAGAGAAGCTGAGTCACTTGCCCAAGGTCACACAGCAGGCAGAGCTAGACTTTCAATCAAGTCTTCTGTGAAGTGTCCACTGCCTTAGGCCATGAGTGCAGAGATGTGGGGCCCCTGCTCCAGCACCTGGACCCATATATGGGGTCTCTCACTTCCTGAAACATCCTAACCCTAGACATTCACAGAGTTCACTTTCTCATCTCCTTCAGATGTTTGTCCAGAGGTGGTCACTTTCTCAAGGAAGATTTCCCTCTCTAAATGGCAATCCCTTCTCCAGCCATCTCTTACTCTGTTCCCCTGCTTAAGTTTTCTTTATAGCTCAATCCAAATATTGTTTTTTATTTGTTTGTTCATTGACTGTTTCTGCCACTTGAAGGTCAGCCCATAAGGCGAATTTGGTTTATTTCATTTACTGCGGTATCCCTACCATTAACAGCCTCTGGACCCCTAAAAGTTATTCAATGAATCAGTGATTCATAAAATAATGAAACAACTAGCTTTCACTGGCCAGCAGGAAGAGCCATTAGTTAGTCATAATAACAATTATAATAATAATATTTAACACAAGGTTTCTCACCCATGGCACTCTTGGCATTTGCGGTTAGATAATTCTAACTGAGGTTGTGGTGAGGGGCTGGCCTGGACATTGTAGGATATTGAGCAGCATTCCTGGCCTCTACCCACTAGATGCCAGAAGTTCCCCCACCCCACACTCTGACAACCAAAAATATCTCTAGACTTTGCTAAATGTTCCGTGGAAAATAAAATTGCTTCGAACTGAGAACCATGATCTAACATGAGCAGATGACTTGAAATGCACCAGGCTCTATTCTAAGCAGCTCACACACTTCATTGCATTCCCAGGGGGTGGAGAGACTGTTTTCAAAAGCAGATCTTGAGATAAGGGCTGGGGTGCAGGAAATTTATTTAGTAGGTGAACCCAGGAAGATCTAGTGATGGAACAGAGAGGTGAGCTTGTGGGCTTCCAGGCCTTTAGGACTCTGCAAATTGATGGGAGGCCTTAACCAAGTTTCAATATTCCAAAAAGTATAGCAAAATGTGCACGTTTCCCTGCTGCTCAGAAGCCTTTGACCAATGCAAAGGAGAGTACAAGTAGTAAATATTAATATGTTTTCTATTTGGTAAAAGATAGCATTGAAAACATTTTTTATCGTGTGGTGGGAAGAAGGGAAAAACCAGAAGACTGGAAATAGTGGCTGTGGAATGTCGTGCCATGCCTCTAGTTCAGAAATTGCAAACTGTTGGTTTGTTCCCCCACCTTTTCAATTTCCACACTGTGAGCAATCATCAGCATATTTACCAATACCATCTATGTACTTTCACAGGTGCCAGACAACACATGAACCTCTTTAATTTTGTCATATTTCTGATTCAGACTAAAGCAGAGTTCAAAAGCAAATGTAATCCCAGACTAGTTTATTTGATCTCCAAAGTGCTTAAAAATGTTTTAATTACTAGTTGCCAACATTTAAAAACCAGAAGATTTATATTTGTTAAAATACAGATCTATAGTTTAAAACAAAAGTGAGCTTAGAAACACTGGGAATGGCTGGCCAGAGCTGACCAACAGCTGACCCACTGAGGCAGAAACACTCTCCAGGTTGCCATATCTGGTTGTCCTACATGGTCTGCTTTTCTCCTCTATATTACCTATCTGCCTCCTGGAGGCATTTAGGCGTTCAACTCCTGCTTTGGATTTTTGAAGACCTTCCAGTCTACTGAGTGGATCACTCTTCTGGTAAAAAATGTATTGGTTATAGAACAAGCTGTGCTGCTGTAACAAAAAGGCCCATAAATCCAGGGGTCCAACCTATTAGGTGTTTACTTCTCCCTCAGTTAATAGGCCAGGGGTAGACAGATGGTCCATGGCAGACAGATGGCTCTGATCCACAGTCATCCAAGGACCCAGGTTCCCTCTCTCTTGTTGCTCCACAAGTTCAAAATGGTCCCAGCCTGCAGGAAGAGGGAGAGAGAAAGGGAAAACAACAGGCATCGATGCAGGATTAAGAACAGAAGTTACATCATCACTTCAGCTCACATTCCATTGGCCAGAACTCAGTCACATGGCCACATCTAGTTGGAAGGGAAGCTGGGAAATGTAGTCTCCAGCTTGGCCACCCAGTGGCCAGCCAAAACTCAAAGTTCTATTACTAGAAGGAAAGGAAAGTGCATGCTGGAGAATCACCATTGTTTCTCCCCCAGGGAGACTGTGTGTGGTCATGAAATGTAGGCTCCCCCACTCCCAGAGGCTGGGGCATTTCTCAGCTGCCTGAGGAGGGCTTCAATTTAACTATGTATTATTTTGTTAGTTGTAGATTGGCTGGTAGAGCCACAACGTCTATGGCGTGCTGACGACGGCTGGCTCGTGGATGGCCCTGAGGAGGAGTTACAAGGTACCTACAGGATCAAGCCCAGACCTGATGTCAGAGCCAGAGTCCCTCCTTCTCAGGCTGCCACCAGAATACCGATAACAGGCTGTGTCTGCTCCAGCAGGCTACCTGTCCCCCAATAATCAGACCTCTTGTATCCTCTCCCACAGAAGCGTGATGATGGGGCTTGGCCACGCGCTCAGCATCCCCAGGACAGTATAGAGTTTGACTCTCCCTGGGAATGGGGCCTCCTTCCTGGTGCAGAATTAAGAGGGAGGGGCCTTGGGGCTGGTTTACAGATTCCTAAAATCATAAGGGATTTGCTCCTTCCTGATGATGAGGCCTCCTCCAGGGTGAGTGGAAAGCAGTTTCTGGAAAAAACCACGTGCAGGCCCGGGGCCTAGAGAACTGAAGGGGTTCAGGTGTGTACACTTACATGTGTGTTTTGTGCTTGTGATTCTGCACACTTCTGTGTGTGCGACTGTGTCCATTAAGGTATGCAGCTGTGCAAGACACTGTGTGGTCATGTATGTCTGAATACTTGTGCATCTGTGTTCATGCAAGTGTGTGTAACCATAAGTGTGAATGTGTATGTGTACAGGATTTTTATGCAAGTCAACATGTGTATGGATGGCTGTATGTGTAGTGTATATATGTGTGTTAGGATTTGTGGGGTGGTGAAAATATGTATGTGATGTGTGAACATGTTTGTGTATGTGCGTCAGGATTTCTGTGTGTGAATATGTGTGTACACATGTGACTATAAGCATGAGCATATGGGTTTCAGGGTGTGTAAGTGAACATATGTATGTATAGCACTATGCATGTGAGGGCATGTCTGGGGTCATGAGACTCTGGACTGTTCTCTGTGTGTGTGTATGTGCATGTGTGTGCATATGTGCATGTGCACACACAACACTGAGTGAGACCCAAAGCACAGCCTGGAACCTGGGGGGCACAGATGAGAGGTGGCCCCTCTAGATAATGCGTTCACTGCCTCCATAGAGGGGCCACTCCTGAGACCCTACCATGTGTCCTTCCTACAGCTGAGATCTGCAGCACCACAGACGACGGGGTGGAGGAGCCGCTCCTCTGTCCCACAGGCTATGAGTGCCACATCCTGACCCCCGGTGACATGGAGAAGGGCATCCCCAACTTCGGGGAGTGCATCAAGCAGAGCCCACCAGCAGGTGAGTGTGGGTGCCCAAGCCCGGCCCCTGGCCCCTCACCCAACCTCACTCTCCTATAACCCCCCACATGTTGCAGATAAAACCACTGGCCCCTGGAGCCTGCCTGAGGGCTCCTCCTGTCCTCCTACTGCCCTGCTTGTCCTTTCAAATCTTCCATCCTTTCCTCCTCACCTGCACGTGACTCAGGCCTTCAACCCCAGCTCCGCCACCTCCTAGCTGGTTGACCTTGGGCTCAAGTGCTTCAGTCTCTGAGCCTCGGGTTCCTTATCTGTAAAATGGGGCCACTTCATGCTGTTATGGGGATTAATTTAAATCACCCATGCAAAGCCCCCAGTAAACATCCGATATTTTATATCCATCTATATATCTATGTTTTTAATTGTCTGAAAACCCTTAATTTCTGCTAGGACCATTCAGTGTGACAGTCTTTATCTTTGGGGAGGAAAACCATAAATAGACCAGCAAGGGGTGTGAATGGCATCACTTTAGTTTGCACAGTTTTCTCACGAAGGGCAAGGACAACACAGCAAGGGCTGATGGTGGTACCTAGAGCCCACCTGTGCCTCATGCAAGGCGTAAGGTCCAGAGGTTTGGTGTGGGTTTGGAGGAAATGTGTGGCAAGCAAAGAATCTGGAGCTTCAGGGAGATGCAGGGTAGCTTATCAAAAGTGAGCTCATTGGAACCTGGAGTCCCCATACTCCAGGGCGCACGTCCCCACTTCTGCACCTCTGAGCTCACAGACAGCACCCTCAGTCAAGATCAATTACAGTGACCCCCACTGGCCAGAAGAACACACCAGAATGCATGGTCTGCGCAAGCTTTTGTTTTTTCTGATTTGGGAATTTATTTCTCTGAAATGTTTCAAGAAAGACATACACATTAAACCAGTTACACATTTAGCATCATTACCATGGCAAATAATAGAAGTGTGAGACCTTAGAACTGTCTTGAGAATCCTGATTCCTGGAATTCTGAGCTTTGAAAAAAATTGCCTATAAAAGGATTTGTACCAATTAAGCATAACTGCGATTTCTCCTACATTCCACTTGCTGTTTGGGGTTATATGTGGCTCTCCAGCCAATCTGGACTCCAGTGGCCACCTGGCCCCTCAGTGCTGTGTGTCCCAAATAGTAGAATCTTTCCAGGCCCCTTTTCCTTATTTGTAAAATGGGCTTATAATGGTTAAGCTACCAGGCCTTTTGCTTCACAAGCACAGAACAGAATCTTTAGACACCAAATCAAACCTTAGGTGGCTGGGGCATGCAGTCCATCCGATGCAAAGCCCCGAGCGCGGGCCAGCCTGTAGGGACAGCTGGAGTGTGGAAGAAACAGCCTTTATCAAAAGCGCTGCAGGGTGAGTCAGGAGCCCTTTGGACTGGAATGTCCTTTTCATACCTGGAGAGGCCTGGAACGACTTTGCCTTTCTCGTCTCCTGATCTTGCTCATTTATGTGAGATCCGCTTCAAGGGTGGAGATAAAGAGATCCGTGAAATGATGCCTGCTGTTGACTGAGTGCCTCAGAGATACTGTCTTTAAGCTTTATCACAAGCCTGTAAAAGGGAAAGTTTAACCAGAAGGCATGTCACGTATGTTTAAGAGTGCAGGCTCAGAACCACTGACATGGGTTCAAATCCCACGGCTTTCTTCCCTGACGACCTTGGGCAGGTAACCTAACCTTTCTTAGCCTCAGTTTTTTCATCTGTAAAAGGAACTGGTGATGATCATGATAGTAATCACTTCATGGATAGTGACAAGGCTTGAATGAGATAGCATCCGTAAGGCGCTTAGAGCAGTGCCTGACACATAGTAGGTCCTCAAGGAATGTACGCCGTTGTGTCTCTGTCTTATGGAAAAGGGGGCACAAGTTCAACACCTTGCCCAGACGGTGCACAGAGCTAATAAGGAGAAGAGTGGGAATTTTGAGCGGGTTCACATGCTCCAAAGCCCGTGTGTGTGTGTGTGTGTGTGTGTGTGTGTGTGTAATTTCTACCCTTGGCCCCAGGGGGGCTGTCACTTAGCAAGAATTGTTGGTACTTATAAGGAGTTTGGAAACATGGATTCCAAAGACTTTTCTTGGAGCAAAGGTGTCAGGGAGGAGAAGGGCACTCCTGAACCCGGGCAATCAAGCATTTCATTTAATTTTTTTAAACTACGTATTTTAAGTAATTGTAGACTAACAGAAAAGGGAAAAGAATAGTGCCTTGGACCCTCTGCCCCATTCATCAGTTGTTAAAATATTGTCAAATTTGCTTTATCACTCTGTCTCCCTCTCCCCACCCCCTACTCTCTCCATAGAAATCTCCACATTTCTTTTCGGGACCATTGGGGAATAAGTTGCAGGTCTCATAGCCACACCTGAGATGCCAGTCTCCCCTGAGAGCTAACTTCTGGAGGGAGCGGGTGACCCTTAGGTTTTATCATGTGTCAGCCTGGAACCCAACTTTTGAGGGGTTCACGTCTTTCTCACAAGGAGAGCAAACACTGACACATGCAGTAGATCTGGCTTTTCGGAGAGCAGGGTCAGGAGGAATGGGTGCATTTTTCTGAGTGGGTTTGGGGTCACTCAGAGGCTAAGCACCCAAGGCCGAGATGTGGGAGGTGGGGTCCCATGCTTGCCTCTGACAAGTGACTTGGTGGCTGTGTCATGAGAAGAATAGGTAAGGTCGAGTAGCCGTGAGCAGGCATTACTGGCCCACACTTATTTTTAACAAGAGGGAGGAGCAGGAATGTTTCCGAGAGCCTCCAGCCTGGAAAAAATCCCAAGACCTGGCTTTTTGCAGATAAGCCGTCCACCCGAGGGTGCAGGTCGGCTCCTTGGCCTCTGTCACCTGTACACTAAATGTCAGTGCTGGCCCTAAACACCCAGATGATTTTTAGGATGGCCACAGAACAAAAGGAAGCAAAATGTCCAGCTGGGCACAAGGGTGATTTTTAAAATTGAGATGTAATTGACACATAACATGATGTGAGTCTCAGGTACATAAATGTGATTTGTTAACGTGGCAGCCATCAGACAAGGCTGAGGCGCAGGGGAGAAGTGAACTAATTGATGTAGGCATTGCCATGGGAAACATTGTGTTCCGGCCAGATTTCCACTCTCCCCCAAATGTTTTAGTGCTGGGGGAGCTGAGGGAAGAGGTGAGGTTAATGACAGTCAACCAGGAGAAGCCATTTGAGACATATGAAATTGCCCAGAGTTGACCACTTTTTACACACAAAAATGGCCATTTCTTATGGTCCCTCCTAGTATTTGCACATGTATGTTGTAAATTAAATTATTTCTTATAATCCTCACAATAATTGAAGAGGTACTGATTTTATGCCTATTTCCAGGTGAGAAAACTGAGGCTCAGAGAGGATTGGTGAAGCATTTTTAGTGGAGATTCATTCTCAGGTTACTTTGTCATTTGCAGTAATGACATCTGAATCTCTTTTGAAAGGACTCAAAAACATACCACCCCCACCCCCCAACGTATTTTGTAATGACATTTGCCGAACAATAGGCTGACATTTTGCTTCCAATTCATCTGTGAAGATTGTGGTTCCCAAACCTTTTGGTCTCAGGACCCCTTTATATTCAAAAAATACTGAGGACCCCCAGAGCTCTCCTTTGTGTGACTGTAGTTTTGACCATATTAGAAACTAAAGCTGAGACACTAAAAATATTTATGTATTAATCATTAAAATAATAATGATAAACTCAATCTGTAGTGAACAAAAATAACGTTTTTTAAAAAAAACTTTTTCAATGCAAAATATATGCTAGTGAGAAGAGCAGCGTGGCTCTGCATCTTCCCAGTTCTGCACACGGATTGAGAGAGCTGGAGTCTCTTCTGCTTCCCCGGTGGGTCAGCTGCGGCATCAACGCCAACAAAGCCTCTGGAAAAGTCTCCTGTGCACTCTTGATCGAATGAGAGTGAAAGCCACAAACAGTTCTTTAGTATTATCGTGGGAATGGTTTGGGCCTTAGAAACATCCTGAAAGGCATTTAACCCTCTCTTGTTTTCCAGAAGAGCCCCTCATAAGAGACACAGAATATCCAGGTAAGGGAAGAAGTCGTTCTTTCTTTGCGGAGAGTCCTGAAAAGGACAGCGAGCATTTCTGGGAAGGAAGAAAAACACAATCCCACTGACTATTAGGAGGACTAGAGTTGGAAGCTGCTAAGAAGGGAAATGGCCACATTCTCCCCAGGTGCTTCTATGCCATCAGATGACACGTGGGGGTTGAGGTGGTGGGATGCCAAGATGTTCCCGTTGTGAAAATCTCTCCTCAAACCTGGGCAGTCCTCCAGGTGGCACCTGACATGGGCAGGAGTCATTTCAGCCTGCAGGCTGGGGAGGTCTCGAGGGTGTCTGGACAGGTGACTAAGACAGGGACTGAGGCAGCAGCTCAGGGTGTCTCATAGGAGACGAAACCGAAACTAGGGCTGGTGAGTAAAGTGAAAGATTTGTTGTCGCATGGTGGGCAGAGGAGATATGAGTCAAGAGGAGTTCACAGCAAATATGGTTTCGTGCTAAACATCAGAGCCTGGGATTGGAGATGCTTAGATCCCTCCTACTTCCACTCACAGAACTGGAAAATATGCCTGACACCATCATTCCATTCACCCAATAATTCAATCATTATCCATTCATCAGCCATTTAACCATTTATTCAATCATGCATCCCTCCCTCTATATCCATCCATCCATCACCCATCCGTCCATCCATCCATCCAGTAATTTACTTAATCACCCTGCCCGCCTCGATTAAGCATGTATCGGGCATTCTGTGCATTCATTCTCCATTCCATTCTTCCTTCTGTGCTGGAAGGAAGGCGCTGCATCTGTGAGTAAGGCAGACCCGGTCCCTGCTATCAGGCAGCTAATATCAAACAGGAAACTCAAACAATAAGCCCGTCTGTTTTTTTAGTAGCAGCAAGTGTGAAAGTCCTGAGGTTGGAAGCAACCAAGCCATCACTGCAGCTGGACTGTCTACCAAGCAAGGGAGAGAGTGGCAGGAGATGAGGCCAGAACTGGGGACAGGGGCGGGGCCAGGACACGCAGGTGGTGGGACATGGTGAGGAAGGGGAGAGACTGCAGGTGGCGGCTGCAGGACCTCACGTGTGGCAGAAGGGGAGACAGGGCCAGGCCGACATGCTTGGATTTAACTTTAGCAGTGGCTGGTGAGCCTTTGAGCAGGAATCGACATGCCCACCCCAACAGAGCCCTGTTCTTTTTGCAGAGGGTAACACCAAGAACGTGGCGGAACATGGAAGAGGGCAATAGAGGCCCTTTCGGTAAAGCAGGCAGCTGGTAAGTGAGAGGAGCAATGAGTCAATGGCAGAGCTTGTGCAGCCAGGCACCCCGGGTAGCTTTAATCACAAAGGTGACCAGTGGGGGGGTAACAGTGGGGCTTTCCCTGTGGGCAGAATTTTAAACATTTTGTGTTGTCAGAAGTGGAAGTTTCTGTACCCTTTAGATCTAAATCTAAAGACTCGACTAGGTCGTAACTTACCTTTCCGTGTCCTTTCCGTTCCTTTGCCCTAATGCATCCAGGAACAGCCAGATAAATCCTCCATTTCCATGAAGTCTGTCCCTCCCTCTGTCACACGATACTATCGGGTGCCAGCTCTGTGATAGGCATGTGCCAGGCAAGACGCCCAGCTGTCATTCATGGAATCTGTTGTAAGCCAGGAGCTGTGCTGAGGGTGACTCAGTGAACAGAGCAGACAGAGGCCCTGCTGTCATGGGTTTACATCTCCTACCCCTTTCAGCAGGAGACTAAACAGGTCAACAAGTAAATCAGCCAGAAGGTGACAGACTGCAGTGAGTGCTGTGAAGGAAACCGGCAGGCGACGTGGTGCCAAGTAACGGGCTCGGGCCGGGAGCTGCTGCAGACGGGGTCGTGGAAGGCTAGGGCGAGGAGCTGACATTTGAGCAGAGATCTAAGGTGGGGAGGTGCAGCCGTAGGGAGGCCCGGAGAATGGGCACCCAGGCGAAATGTCCTAATGCAGGAAAGATCTTGGCTTAGAGCGGCGATTTTCAACCTTTTTCATCTCATGGCACACATAAGCTAATTACTAAAATTCTGTGGCACATCAAAAAATATATTTCTGGCCAATATGACAAAAACAAAACAAAACAAAACAGGTATAATTCTGATTCATTCTCACTGGATGTCTATTGTTGCGTTGGCTGTTGTCATTTTTTTTATTTGACAATCTAAGGGAATAGAGGTCAGTGTCTGTGACTAAATAGGCAGGTAGTGCATGTTTTGAAAATTCTTATGACACACCAGTGTGCCGCAGCACGCCGGCTGAAAATCGCTGGCTTAGAGGAACCACGGAGGCCCCTGGGTGGGAACAGGGTGGTGGCCGGGAGGCTGGCCCTGGAGGAGGTGATGATTAGGCCCAGGCTCTGCTCTCGGACGCTGTCCAAGGTGGGGCGCAAGCGGGTGGACGCAAAGGGCTGTGGCATTGCAGCAACTGGAACGGGTCTTAGCGGGTAAAACCTAAATACCCACCATCCCCTGTGAAAGCTGAATGTCGACCCATGGTCAGCGAAAGCCCTTAAAAGCAGGCAGTTTCCCCCAATGTCCTTGAATCAGGTTTCAGATTCCAGAATGCTCAGGTGCGAGACCTCCTGGAAATCCTAGAGCCAGTGGGGGTTGATGCCAGCGTGTCTATTACCTGCTGATGACAGGAACAGTCCTTGCAGCTGGTCTGACCCACCAGGGGACTGTGAGCCTTTTTGTTGTTGTTAAGCCTCACTTGAGGATATTTTTTTCCATTGATTTTTAGAGAGAGTAGAAGGGAGAGAGGGCGGGAGAAAGAGAGAGAGAGAGAGAAACATGGATGTGAGAAAGACATTGATTGGTTGCCCCCCACACGAGTCCCGACCAGGGCTGGAGATCCATCCTGCAACTGAGGTACATGCCCTTGACCGAGAATCAAACCTGCAACCCTTCAGTGTGCGGGCCGATGCTCTAACCAATTAGGCCACACCAGCTAGGGAGGGAACCTGAACCATAAACGTGGACATGCTGGGGGCCAGTGGGGAAGGACAGACTGTGAGAGGCAGCTTAGGGTGACTTTTAGGAGCCAGCCAGACCTGGCTGTAAATTCTTGCTCTGCCGCCATGTGACCTAGGCAATGACTTCAACTCTCCAGCCTCAGCTTCATCTGTAAAATGGGAATGGTGGGAGGGGTGTGTTAGGAACTAAATAAGATGGTACCCGTAGAGACTTCTCAGTGAGCTAAGAATTTAGTCTTGGCAGAAACTGGCATCTCTCTGGTGCCTGGTGGGGCAGGAGGAAGAAGACACACAGATCTGTGACCCCGTGTTCTGCCTGAGCAGTGGCTCATAGTCATTTCTTCTTTGCCTCCCTTTCAGCGAATTTGGAAGAACATTCCTCACTCTCGGCTAAGCCTTGGAAACAGATGTGCAAAAAAATGCTTTGACCTCCAGAAGTCATGCCAAGCTCAGCAGAGCAGGACCTCAGAGATGCTGAGAGGACACCTGGCTCTCAACCCCAGTGTGGGTGACTCTGCGGGAGCCGCTGACCAGCGCTGGGTCCTGTTCTGTTGTCTTGGAAACGCCTAGGATCTCCTTTGACCCTGCAGCTCTACAGATGCTAGGCTGAGATAGACAGAGTTCGATGTCTTGTTATTTACAGCTTTATTTCAGGTTTGACTCTGGTGGGCATGTACCATCCCTCCCAGAGTCTCAGAATGTACCCATGTTCTCAAAATATATTCACTCATCATAAAATGGAAATGAACTTACCTATTCATGCATGATTGTAGTTTTAACTGCCTGCTGATCTTAAATCAGATGTGCTGAGGCCATTGATTCCTGAGGGTGAGAGGGAGGGTGGGTGTTGCTGGGGTTTCAGCTCAGCTCCCCCCGCCCCGCCACATGTGAACTGTTCTAGTTAAGACCCCCCTGAAGCAGACCCTGGGGGGAAGATGCAGTGAAAGCAATGTATTGGAGAAGTTTCTAGGAAAAAACTGGGCAGGAGGTGGAGAAGTGAGACAACAGGCAAGAAGGTCAGACAAGGTGAGGTGTCAGAGTCCTGCAGAGAGTAACTTTGGTGCCAACCCCTGGGGGTCCTAGAGGCAGCCTGAGTCCCACCAGGGCCAGCTCCGGGGGCAGGAACCCATGCAGTCACTCAGAAGGGCCCTGTGCTTGGTATAATGAAATTCTTAGCAACTGGTGAGCCAGAGCCTGCATGTTCTCTGCAAATGATCTGTGGAGTCTGCCCATCAGGAGGAAGGGGTGCCCTCCATGATGGGGTAGGGCTGCCCATGGGGGAGGGGCTGTCAACTCCAGGGGCAGCCGCCTCGTGTGCACAGGGACCCAAGAGGAATGGTCAGAGCCCTGAGGGCATCTGTTACACAATTCAAATCTCAACAGTGTCTGCACAAAAAATGGACAGGCACATACATAGGTTTCTGGGGGAACTGATACAATTCACCCCGTAGCCCACTTTCAAAGCGGACAGTGGTGATTGGTATTAATAAATTGTTTGGCAGGAGTCATCCTTTTTAATTCCAAATGTGGAGACAACATTAGAGTACCGGTATTCAAAAACAAGCACCGCGCCTGCCCCCGGTCCCCCTTTGCCTCCCCCCACCCATGCACACACTCTTATCTCCCATACAATCCACATGCCCTTGGAAAACAGTCCACGTCCAGTTTAAAGTGGAGAATGGTGGCCTTTTGTGTGTGTGTCATTTCTGAGCAGTGCATTCAAAAGAATTCTTATCTTACTGTTTTTGTGTGTGGAATGCGAGTGCAAAGCAGTCTAGTGATTCATGAAAAGGGTATATGAAGTGGGCATCTGTTTTGACCTTCTTGGGAGATTTTGACCTTCATGTTGGTGGAAAAGAAAGACAATGGATATCAAGTCCAATAGGGGGCATTTCAGAGAGTGAGGTTTATGTCTGTTCATTCCAGGCACAAGCCTCACCGTGGAGTTTATGTATGTAATTCCTGTGGGCCGAGGCAGGGGTCACAGCTTGCGTGGCCCATGAAGTGCCCAGTGCCCCACATGCCCGGGACGGTTGATCTCACTGGTCTGGAGGGGACCTGTGCCTGGGGTTGGCGGTATCTCCTGCTCAGAAAGGGGTCTAACAAGTAGCAAGTTCGTCAGGGCTGAGGACCACAGGTCTAAGGGCCTGTCCACTCCATGGCTGCCACACATGGTGTAAGCAGACAATTATAGCCAGCAGAGACTTGAGTGTGCCCAGCACTCCCTGTGCAGGTCTCAGTTGAGGAAACGGAGTGAGTGTCAGAAATCTGAAAGGACTCATCCAAAGTCACACAGCCAGTAAGTGCCAGGGCCAGGATTTCCAGCCAGGTCTGTCCTACCCACAGCTTGGGCTCCAGAGACCCAGCTATTCTGCTAGTTCTGGCCTATCAGAGCACATCCCTCTAGCCACTATGGCCCAGAAGGGGACACTGCTAGTGTATAATCCAACATAGGACACTGGGGACAGGGCTGAACTCATCCCTACTTCTGGGCAGGGGGGCTGCCCATGAGGTGGGGCAGAGAGAGCACAGACTGGTCAGTCTGGGTTCCAATCCTGAGCAAGGGGCTTACCTTCTCCGAGCCTCAGTTTCCTCCTCTGTGAAATGGGTGTGGTAAGAGTAGCTGCCATTCAGAGTTGCTAGGAGGGATTATGAGAAATGATGAATGTATGGTAAGTGCTCAGTGAGAATGGTTATAATCCCTTATTATTATCTTGGCTCAGTAGTCTTCTGGGGGCACAGCTGCCCCAGTTGAGAACCTCAGGATAAAGCCCAAATAATTTCTATCACTTCATCCATCGGTAAGTTCCACTGGAGCATTTTCTCTTAGGTTCTGGGTGATTAATTAACTTTCCCACTCACTCATCACTGATTCATTCATGCATTTATACACTCATTCTGTCAATACATATTTACCAAGCACACTCTGTATTATTTCATTACTCCTTGTGGCAACCTTAACACAGTAGCCAGCACCTTCTGAGCACAGACCATGTGCAGGGCCCTGTAAGCCCTTTACAGAAACTAACAACCCACCTGAGCTCTCCCAACCCACGAGGCAGAACTATCCACAGCCATCTTACAGATGAGGGGACTTGAAGCTGGGAGAAATCAAGTTGCTTGGCCAGGGTCGCCCAGCTAGTACGCCGCAGACTGAGGGTGCAGACCAAGTAGCCTGATTCCAGCGTCCTCGGGAGGTAGGGACTTCTTTTTTTTTAAACAGTGAGGAAAAGCATTGAATTTATGTAGTTACGTGAACACATAGAGGTATTGTCTGAGTTTTTGATGGAGTATCGACTTCATTCTGACATCAGAGTAGCCAGATGTTACACAGTTGTTGGTATCCTAGGAAGTACAAATTACAGGAAGCCCTTCGGAAAAGCTTATAGAAAGGAAAGAACACATTTATTTATTTACTTATTTATTGCTATTCACTGTCAAAGTCAAGTTATGTCTCCTACTAAGGTCATCCACCTGCTTTTCTTCTTTTTAAAAATAATTTTTAGAAACATTTTATTCAAAACAATGGAACATTCACGGGACATGCAAGGAAACGAACAGCGAGCCCCTCTCCCCACGGTGACACCTTATGTAACTGCAGCGCAGTATCACAGCCAGGAAGCTGGCACCGGCACTGTCACAGAGCGGATTCGGTTTCCTCCGGTTCCACAGAGGGAGCTGAGAGCGTGAAGCACTCACCCAAGGCCACCCGCCTGGAACCAGCAGAGCAGGCCGCTGGGACACCATGGCCCCACCGCCCGTTGTCCCATGAGCTGGAGGAGGCCAGCCCGGCTTCTCCCAATCCCCAGTCTGGAGTTTTCTTTCTTGCCACACAAGACCTCCCATATTGAAGAGACAAAAGAAGCCATGGCTACCACCTCTGTGGCTGCCTTAGGATGGTGTCACAGCCGTGGGGGTAGGGTGGCCCAGCCTTTGAGAGGGCTTCGTCCCTCCTCACGGGGCCTCAGAGCAAGGCCGTGACGAGGGGCACCAGAAAGCCAGGAAACAACGGACAGGCCAGTGGGCTGCTCCGGCCCTGCCTGCTGAAGACACAGGGCTTCTGCAAGGCCACTGAAAAGTGGCCCTTGGCTAAAGGCAGAGGCCTCACCCACTGCAGCAGCATTTTTATAGAAGGAGCTTAATTACACATCCTCTCTGATCCTTGGGTAAACGAACAGTTACTCTTTCCTGGGGCCATTTTCCATCTGAGCTGCCAGGATTAACTAATTGCCCAGGCCCGAGTCTTTTTCCAGAACTTTTGCACACAGGGCAGCAAGGTAGTCTAAAGGGAAAGTAGGTGGGGCCCTTCCAGAGGATGAAAGTGCAGGATAAACCCCATCTTATCACCCCAGGGAAGGAATCTTGCTTCCACTTGGGAGGAGGGGAATAGGCCCTGGGGTGAGAGGTGCCCAGCCCCCAAACAGACTTCTCCCTGCAGGCACCTGTCTGCCTGAAATTCCACCATTAATTAGTGTCATCCGTGGTGGACAGTGTTGAGGCTGCTAGACTGTGGACTCCTTTCCCCCGGGAGAGGCTGCTGGCCTCTAAGCCATTGGAGACCAAGATACCTGTCGTCTGGAGGAGAGACACGCAGGTGTGTGGGTTATCACAGGCACCATGGGAAGTGCTGGGGTAAAGCCATATCTGGGCTTTCTCTCCAGTCCAGGAGAGAAGTCAAGGAGGGCTTCTTGGGGGCGGAGCTATCTGAGCTAAGTTTCTGAGCGTGACAGTTCCAGTGGCTGCCATAGGCATGACCCTAACCTGGGTGGTTTAAAACAACAGGAACTTATTGTCCCACAGTTCTGGGGGCCACAGGGCCAAAATAGAGACTGATACAATAACCTGGGGAAGCTGGGATTTCCATAGGTGAAGGGGTGTGGCAGGGCATTCAGCTCAAAGTCATGAGCAGATGTGGAACTGGGTGCTTCAGCCCCACCTCATTTAAGCTCATTTCGGTCCGTCCTTAACAGCCCCGGCGGTGGGCATTCTTCTGTCCTCACCTGTAAGAAGTGAGGCTCAGAAAGTGGAAGGGGGGGACTCCCGGAAGTCAGTGGTAGGGTGAGAATTGGCTCAGAGTGGATTTCCCCCCTAAGTGTCTTTGCCAACCCTTCTGTCTACTGAAACCCTCCCCAGTCTCCCACCAGGTTCTCTCCCCTGCCTGACTTGTCCCAAAGTCCCATGGAAGCGTGTGAAGCTTCGGGCTCAGTGAACAGTGCTCAGGTGTGGGGCTCACGTGTGGGTACCAAAGACCCCCTCCCCCTGCAGGTCTCAGCAATAACAGCCCCCATCGGCAGCACCAAGCTCGTCCACCTGCCGTCTTTGTAGGGGTTCAAAAAGGGCGCCCCCCTCTGCCATGAGCACCTGCAGGTGTGTGACTGGCGCCCCTAGACCCCTGCCCGACCTGCTCAAACCTACCTGGCAGCCCTGCTGGATCCTACCCAGGACTCACGCAGGGCTAGGCCCTCCTCACATACCCTTCATGACCACCCTCACGGTGTGGGTAACTGTGCCCCTTTTAGAGAGGTAAGAGGGGCCCCGGCTGAGACGGTGAGACATACGGTTCAAGCCCCCAGAGAAGTGGAGAAGCCGTCAGACTGGAGCCTGGGGTCCGGCCCCACAGAAGGGCCGATGCACGGCCACCTCTGTGGCTGTTTCCCCCAGAGCCCAGACTACAGCGCGCTGGCTGTGACTTCATGTCCGCCCCTCAGCTCCAACCAAGGGACTGTGATGTTGTGCAACTGCTCCGCTCCTAGACT